CATTTCTCCATAAGACTGAATACTATCAGACTTTTATGCATGTATATAAACTGGTTCAGGGGTTGTTTCTGGGAAGAGTTGTTGAGTTTAATACACAGACATCAACATAAGACAGCAGAGCCTCCAGGACACAGTCAGGACCTGCTTACAATGAGTGTGTGTTGAACAGTTACACTTTGTTTTCCAGCCTTTAAAAAAAAAAAAACAGGTTTCTGCTCTCTTTCATCGCTGCTCTGTGCCAGGCCAAGAGGAGGAAAACATGGATTTAATTGATCATTGATTAGATGAAAGCTGATGTGACAGGTAGCTGGTTCACCTGTGTCTCCGCTCTAACCCACCCTCCTCTCTCTGTGTCTGTATTCTCTCCCGTAGATCGATCCGAAGGTCGCGTTCCCCCGCAGAGCTCAGCCCAAGGTGAGTGAAACCTCCCAACGGTAGCGCGCGCATTGTTCGCGGCAGGTTAGTGTGTGTTTCTCTATCGGAGGCTAATGCCTCGTAATCTGATGAACACGGGCGGCGCTGACATCACTCAACTGTCATGTGATCAGGTGTTAACAAAAACGTTCACAACTTTGGAGACACTCGCCATTGTTGGAGCTCCCTAAACGTCCGTATTGTGTTTCAAGTACGCTCTGTCCCGATCGACAACAACACGGAGTGAGAGAGGACTCAGTGAGGCAGAGAGGTCTTAATAACGTTCACTGCAACAGAAAGTAACAGTAATCTGTGACAGAGCTGCAACAATCCTGGACACTGCTTTCTATTTTTATATCAAAATCCAATCAAATGTAATCAATCAATCTTCAACTTTTATCGACACAGAGCAAAGATTTATCAGTTAGCTATCTCGCTAACTGATTACTGTATAAACACACAACTTTTATTATTTATTTATAAAGATGCTGAGATTATACGCGACCTCCACTTTGAAAACCACCACTAATCAATCAGTCGATCGACAGAAGAAGAAAAAAATAATAATCAATTGATTGTTTAAGTCATTTTTAAAGCATAAAAGACAAACAGACAAGTGCTGTTTCCAACCTCTTAAATACGGATTATATCATATTAAAGTTTGTGTTTTGGACAAAACTAAACATTTAGAGACATTAACGTTGGACTTCAAGAAACTGGGATGGATCACAAACAGATCAAACAACGAACTGATGAATCTGGAAACTAATTGAGCAAATCAATAGAATGAAAATAATAGTTGCTGCCTGGTTTCCTCTTTTTTTGTAACAGAGAATATTAATTTCTTCGTCTCGTCTCAAAAACTGTCGCTCTGACAGAAAGTGGAGGTGATGTAAAATAATCTGAGGTGTGAAATGTTTTACTGACTTTGTGTCATAAACATTAATCTGTAAATCAGCAAACATCAAACAGAACAGTTTGTATCTGTTCAAAGACCAAATTAAAGTTCTTCACCTTCACCTGAAACTGTAAACTTTAAATATGTGTGTTTAAAGTATTTATGGTCACTGTCTCATTTAAGAGCTTAAAACAAAACGTTACACTTTTTACCTTAAAAAACCAACTGTTGATTATTTATTGAGAGCAGATAACTTTTATTGGACTTTGTCGTTTCTTTAACATCGTTCAGCCGAACGGACCTCATGAAGAAGAATGAGGAAGATTCAGGATTCACAAACTTTTAATCAGAACTTTATTATCATTTCATTAAAGATATACAGTAACAGCAGTTATAATTCAGAATCAGTTGAGTTTATTGATCCACAGGGATCATAAGATTGTTAAAATATATGCCTTAAATTACAATATATAACAACAATATATATAGAAAATGTAAAAATAGAAAAACAACTGAAAATATAAAACAAATAATAAAATACTATATAAAATAAATATATACAAATAGTTTAAAAATATAAAACATATAGTAATATAATAGAAAATGTATAAAATAAATATATATATAAAAAATATATACAAATATAAAGAAATTGAATAATATAAACAAATATATATATCTCTATATATTAATGTGTGTTTCCTCCTCTTACAGTTAGTGACTCGAACCAAGAAGATCTTCGTTGGAGGCCTGTCAGTGAACACGACCATCGAGGACGTCAAACAGTACTTTGACCAGTTCGGGAAGGTGAGCGACACATTTTAAGTGTTAAAGTCTCAGGGACGTTGATCAGAGAACTGAAAAAAACCCTTTAATGCTTTAACTGACTTACACGAGTCGGCGTCAGGCGGCGGAAAACAAATCAACAGCTTAGGAAAAAACTCACTAACCAGCAGCAGCTCGGCCGAGTCTGATTCACCGCAAAGTGTCTGAGAAAAACTTCACTCGGAGGCGAAGGGGTTACTGCGAGGAGAGGGCGAGAAAAACGCTTGGAAAGGAAAAATAACGAGGCTGAGAGGCTCCGGGGAGCAGCAGGCGAAGTTAGGGGGGGACTTGAAGAGGGAGGCGGCGTGGTGGAGGGTGGACGGTGGAGGGGGGGAGAAAAGTTTTGTAGTGAGTGTGTGGTGATGGTGAGGAAGGAGGAGGGATTATCAGAATCTGAATTAATCTGATGTAACAGCTGCTCCTACCCACAACCCCCTCCTGGCCCGTTACCGTGGTGACCTGGCTTTGCCCATTGTCCCCAAGTAATTCTGTGGGTAAGGGGGTTTTGTTCTGAAGGAGGAGGGATGTTCGGGGCAGGGTTGAGGAGGGTAGGGGGGGGGTGTTAGCATGCAAGTGTTGGGTGCTTGAGGGAGGGAGGAGGTGGGGGGGCAACTCAGGAGTTTAAGTCCCCCCCCCCAAAAAAACTTATTTTTTTAAAGTATTTCTACTAAAAAGTTGTTTTCCGGCGGCTCCGAGAGACACGAGGCGGAGGATAGATGAAGGGCTGACAAAGGAGAGAGGCGTAAGAGAGAGAGAGAGAGAGGGAGAGGGGGGAACTGGGGCAAAGATGGGGTGTGTGGGGGGGCTATTATGCCTCAAACAAAGCTACACAAATATTTTTCTAGTTTGTCCAGAAGTTATCTGCATACTGTGAAGTTACGAGTTGTTACACATTAAAATAAAAAGCAGCAGCAGGTGGATGAAAACTTTTCAAAGTCAAACAGACGCTGTGTTTTTCTTATTTTATTTCCGACTGCACTTTATTTCCCCCCCCCCACCCACTCACCACCAACCCTCAGCGCTCTCCCTCCTCAATCATAACGTGGAGATGAATTTTGGGCCGAGAGAGATACCGAGGGATGGCCGGTGAAATGTAGGCTCCAGCCATCCATGGAAGTTCCTGATTAGACTGCCTCACTGGACCTTTTGTGTCCCGTCCTGGTGAGGACAAAGGAGCGCGGAGAGGGATGGGCAGTGGATAACAGGGAAGATGAGAGGTGGGGAGAAAAAAAAATAAAAAAGGATAAGAGGGAATATTGTCACCGTTAAAAAGGCCAGTGTTTGAAATATCGAGCAACGACGTATGATTAACTCCGTTGTTAGACGTCGTTCATCTGTTCGGTTGTTTACTGTTTGATCTCAACCAGGAATCTTGTTTCTTGACCCTTCATAAGCCCCGCCCCCTTTATCGCCCTGTGCACCAATAAGAGTTGAGCAAGAGTCGGTCAACTTCCTCCTTTCCTGTACCTGGATATGCTACGTGCTAAGCTAAACTATGTTGGAAAGACAACCACGTTTTGAAGTTGGTTAAAAGATAAAAGTAACATAAAGTCACATTTTAAGTTATCAAATGTTAGCAAACGTTTGCTAACTCGTAACAACTCATCTAAATTAGCTGGTTAGCAAATGTTTTGATGACATCAGGTCACGTTTCTTTCTTTGTACCGATAATAAAAGACAAAGATATGAATACGATATAATATATAATAATAATAATAAAAGATAAATGTTTCATAATAAGGTAAAAAAGAAAAACTCTTAGCTTTCAGGTGTAACAAGCTAATGTAGATTAGCGTAGCACGTAGCATTTTGCTAACTAACTAGCCAGCTAATTTACATCAACTGTTAGTTAGCTTACATTAACTTAAGTTAACTTGTGTCTCATATCTTTTAACCATCTTCAAAATGTGCTTGTCTTAACTAGCTATTCGTCAATGGACCCTTCATAAGCCCCGCCCCTTTTTGGGGTCCTCCAATAATAGCTTCCTGTATGTAGATATGCTACGTGCGAAGCTAATCTGTGTTGAAAAGACAACCACATTTTGAAGAAACATATCAAAGTATAGGAAAGGAGGTTGACCGAGGCTTTGCTCAACTGTGATTGGAGCTCAGAGCACGGAGGGGGCGGGGCTTATTAATCGATGGTTAAAGGCGTTGCCAATCAGCGAGCTTCCTGTTGTCAGTTAAACGTTAAAAACAACAAACGTTTCTGCAGAAATAGAAGCTGAACATGTTCGTCGGGCTGGAAGGAAGCAGCGACTTAAAGAGTCAACAGGTCTCCTTTCACACTGACACTCCTCACTCACCTTTGACTTTTCTGTAGGCACACTGCCTTTGGGTTTGTGTGTGTGTGTGTGCTGGTGGTTGTTTTTTTTCCCAGAGCCTGAACAGGGAGAATATAGACGAGGAAGCTGAACTCAGTGAGTAGTGTTTATTTCCGGAAACAGAACTGCACAGAAA